CTCCTCCTCCTCCTCCTCCTCCTCCGCCTCCTCTTCTCCTTCGCTTTTGACATCTACGAATACCGCCGCCGTAACAGCCTCGAACAACAGCAGTAGTAGCAATAACAACAGCATGGCGACGATAGGAGGCGATACGCTTTCAAACGGTGGGTCGCTTGACGACGATACCGGAACTACTATAGCCGCTACGGTCGTGAAGCTCGAGGAACCATCCAACAACCCGAGTTTGGCGGATCTGTACTCGTTGACCGATCTCTTGCAAATACAGCCGTCGGACTTTAAGATCGATCTCGACATGGAAACGATAACCACCGACCTGGATTCCTTCGAAACTGCCAGTTCCAGCAGCGGATCGCACTTTGAATTTTCTTGTACACCCGACGTTACGGACATGTTGTCTACCATTGGTGTAGGAAACGACTGGGTCAGCTTTTGAGAGAACGACCAACGGCGGAGATTTACGCGCGCGCTTTCTTTTTCTGGATAAATGTCGGTAAACCGGAATGTTGGCTTCTTCTTTCATCTCCCTTTCGTTACATCTCCGTGAAAAACTCGAACGTTTAGCGGCGAGTGTGCTAATCGGCGCGAGGTCTCACACTGACCGCTAAAATTTCAAACTCGATTAAGAGTCTTCTTTTTGTATATCTACTGTAGTATATTAGGTGTAAGAACTTTTTCTTATTTTTTTTTTCATTTTTTTTTTTCATTTTTATTATCTTTTTTTTCGTTTCTCTTCACCTCTACGGCATTATTAGCTGGAAAAAAGGGGTCTCGTTCGTGCGTCGATGAGAAAAACAAGAAGCGATAGGAGTGTGTATGTGTGCGTATACTTGGAAAGGATCGACGGTCCGTTGGACCGATGATACACGCGTGTCGTTGCGACAGCGTCTTCAATTTTTTCCGTTTTTCTTGGCTGCCCTATTTCTTACCCTCTCCTCTCCTATCTCGTGTTTCCTCCTCTTTACTTTCAGCAGCGTGTATTAAGCGTAACATCGCTGTGTAGCCGTTCGATCGCGATCTTCGTATCGATCACTGCCAACTAAATTCTACGTAGTTTCGTTCGCTCAACCATATTTGCTCCCCGATAAATGCCCTCGTTCGAACGATATTTTTAACACGATTTCTTGCCAGCTCTGCCAATCGAGGCAACAATAGGTAGACGCGACGATGTACGCGGGATACGTCAGAACCTCGGTCTCGAAATTCAGTGAAACGAAGATGGGGGTGTGCCAGTCTCCCCTATCCCTGTGCTTGAACCCGTGTTCACGATTCAATAGGCTGTGAAAACATTCGTCGATTGAAGAAAGACGACGAATCCGGTAACCGACCGCGGGGCACTCTTCTATCTGCGAATAGAAGTACGAAAAAGAGAAAAGAAAAGAAAAGTGGAAAGGTTTACGGAGGAATAGCGTGCGGCGGGGTTGGTTGGTGTCTGACGTGTCCGGATGGGGATATAATTTTGCGCGGCGGCACGGGACGGCGCGGGGCAACGACAAGATGCGATCTTTACGCATGGAAATGTGGGGGAGGGTGAGAGGTGGTGATATCGATGAAAATTTCGCTATCCACGCACGTCGTCGTCATCTCCCGTTTTCCACCGAAACGCAAAGTCTCGCCGACGAGTTTTCTCAAATGTTCACACTGCTCAATAAAAGTGTACCCGAACGACCACACTCCGCGTAGCGGCTTCGGGAATGAAGTTGGAGTCGCGGCCGGACGAGTCGCCGATACACCTTTGTAATTTATGTCCATAAGTAGGTAGAAGAAGTAACGGAAAACACACCAAAGTGCAATATTACACGTATAAAATGTCTGTAAATGTGCAAACGACGGGAACAAACGGACAGTTATTACATTATATCGTATAGCGAGCGCGCGCAACAAGGAAGGGCACAAAGTAAAACGAAGGCAATACCGATCTCAATCAGAAGTACATATATTTTTCAAAGCTGATCGACGCTTGTTGTTGTTGTTGAATGTATATTGTGTATGTATAACTCGAGAGAGAGAGAGAGAGAGAGAGAGAGAGAGAGAGAGAGAGGTGGATATTTTTGCGGGAGATTGTCGTAGTTCGTCGCGTTAAACCGAGGGGATTCGGTTGAAATGAACGGACAACGAGGTGATGAGAAGAGTGGGTGGGGGTATATGGAGAGGAGGAGGAAGTACGTACGACAATGGCAACGACAGACAGCGGTGTGATAGCTAACAGCTGCCTACGTGTACGCGGAAAAATGAAAAGAAAATTCCGATCGTTGCTTTGGTTCGCGCACTCTCTCGTTATCGCTGTTTTTCTTCTCCGCCGCCGCCGCCACCACCGCCGCCACCGCCGCCGTCACCGTCACCGTCACCGTCACCGTCATCGCCACCGCCGCGCATTTTCGTCGATTGCCAAAAGCGTCGTACGATGTATGTATTCGAGGATGGATGATGATATTTAGAAAGGAACGATCCGCACAGCTGTCCAAGCTATATTATATGTATCTCGTAGGTTTAAGGTTTCATTATACACGATAGTGAACATAGTTGCGTTAACGACTAACTTTATACATATTGCGACTGTACATTTGTATTTAGCCCTTTGTTTATAATACTTATCACCTTGTTATTAAGTATCCGATTTATATAATTTTTTTATCGAACTTATTAAAAAATATTTAAAAACGACGAAATGTGTTTACTTTTCGTTTTCATCTCGATCGGACGTGCGCGTCGGAGAGGTTTACTTTCGCCGGCGACGCCTCCTTCCGCCCTCCCGTCCTCCCTCGTTTTCGCCACGCGAATAAACGTTTCCTTAATCGCGCGCATGCATGCCGAGTCGCAGGCAGGCTGCGGTCGCGCTCGCGCTCGCAGAAGGTGGGCGGGGAGAGCAGAGTACGCGGGGCGCTGTGCTTCGCTGACCAGTTCGATTCTCTCTTCCGAGAGTTCTCTTTTCGCGTAAATATCAAGTTTTCCTTTCGCGAGCGATCTTGCACCGCACCGCGCCTGCCGTGCCTGCCGTGCCACGCATCCACGCGTTCGCGATAATAACGCGCAGTAAGGCTATTAATAGCTGTCGGCGGATGAACAACTCTGCAGCAGAATCGCACGGCTGTGCAGCGCTCGACTTTGCGACAACTTTCCATATTTCTTCCCCCCGTTGGCTAATTCGAAGGAGAAGTTTATCGACGCGATGTTCGTTTGGTCCGGCGGTGATCCGTATCGCGCTATCTCTCGGATGGATACGCGGATGCTTCCGTTTCGCAAGCAGAGCGTTTTCACGAGGCAGCTAGAACCACTCTCCGCGAAACGGGCAGAGAGAGGGAACGAATCGAGCGGGCCGAGTTCCCACTGGTAAAATAATCGCTCAAGGTCTGCGGTGGCGTTGCACCCACTCACACGAGCAGGCTAGCCAACAACCGCGCGCTCTACTGTTTACATCGCACGAGTACGCGGTCTCTGCCACCTTTTCCTCGTTAAAGTCCATCTACCGTAAACCATAAACCATAAACCAGCGAGTATTTTTTAGAAGGTTGCGCGGCAAATTATCGTTAGAAGAAGAGACTGTGGTCACGAGTGGTTCGTCGAGTCAACGTGTTTCGTTCGGCCCTGCTGTTCCGAGTCACGACCAACTCGAACGTTGCATCGTTTTCCGATAGAACTCCGGAAAGAACTCGATCGAACGCCGATATCTCTCTCGTTCCGTCCTTTTCCCCCTAATCCGGTGAACGTAGCGCGAACGTTGCGCTGGTCAGTTTTCGTTTTCTTCTACTAAATAGGTATGTAAGTACGTATTGTACTACTCGGGGAACGGAGAAACTCTGCCTCCAGTAAAACAGATGGATGGATCGAAGGAAAGAAAGAAGGACGGCGAGGGTGGGAGGGGAGCGGGGGAAAGTGAAGCGACGACGGGGCGGGTAGAGGATGCTGGTGGCTGCATACCGCGAGGTAGCGTATAGCTATCGAGGTCAATGGTTAGTCCAAGGTCCTCAGTTCGAATCTCGCGGCTGAGTTCAACGCGACTCGGTATTTCCTCTCGCGCGAACGACGATCCCCGTTCGTGGAACGCCCGAGGCCGCGGCTTTTCCTTTCCTCTCCTTTTCCTCTCTACCTTTTTTCGGGCTGTCGGTCGCTTTGTTCGGGAATCGCGAGAGCTTCCTGGTCTCTCTCGACGACGACGACGACGACGACGACGACGACGACGACGACGACGACGACGACGACGACGACGACGACGACGACGACGACGACGACGACGACGACGACGACGACGACGACGACGACGACGACGACGAAGATCACGTCGGGGATGAAGAGGATCGCGCGAGTCGAGGCTTGCAAACATCGTAATCTCGCGATAAGGTCGCGACTGATTTATTTGCCGATAAAAGCTTATTGGAAACACGTGTATCGTAGGCTGCTGCCAAAACCGGTCGCTCAAGAGAGAGAGAACGATCTGCTGGTTGTACGCGGCGAACGCTATGAATCACACGGACGGTTTTAAGTCGGACGTCGTAAACTCGACTTAACTCGTTCTTCGTACTCGTTCTCATCCTTCTTCGGTCTTTTCTTTGTTTCCGCCTGTCGTTAGATCGCGTCGCGTCTCGCTCTCTTTTTCTTCGTGGAGCAAGAGGAAACGTTGAAAGGTGTAAAAAGTATCGGGATGATGATACTTTTCGTATCGCGTCGCGCCGCACGCGACGTCGAATCGAATTGAAACGAATCAAAGCGTGGGTGTACGTAGCGCTGTTGCAACGTATCGCATTGATAACCGTGTCCCGATAGAGCAACTAGTTTCGCGAAGAAAAATCGCGTCCGTTAGTCAGAGCTTGCGACATTAACTCGCGCAGCGTGCTGCATGAGCGACTCCAGGCCGGAGTTTGCACGCGCGACCCACTTACTCGCGTCTCTACGAATAAAAGATCGAACGTTGGAACACGCGCTGGTTTGCAGAGAACCACCGTGCCTCGAATTCGCGGAGAGATTAGAGGAGATTTCTCGGAGAAGGATCATCGCGGTTAGGTTATGTTCCGCTCGCGGATGGGAAAGGAGAGCGACCGCTCTCGACGTAGTAGTACATATCTCGGCGTATCGCGGGTCACTCCCTTCGGAAAGTCGCCGATTTGTTGGACATGCTCTTATTGCGCGATTACTAATCGTGGTACAAGAAAGTAATGTAAACACTCGGATAAGGTAGATTTATAGGAACTGCTGCTGGCCACACGCTCTGTCGATTCGCGGTAATTTATGGATGTGACGCGTTCGTTGCTGCGACGTTCTTCTTCCCGGCCAGGCGTCTCGTGTCGCCCCGCGTCGGCCGGGGAGGACCTAACGAAGGCGGGCGGGATCGCTTCCGGTTTCGCGTGGCAAACAGCATGCCGACGAAAATAAAATTCCCTCAATTTTTCACGAGTTTGCCTGGATGCGCGCCGCGTACCTCGATATTTACGGAAGAGTTACGGCCACACGCGTCGTCGGAGCGCGCATCCACGAAACCGAACGGAAACGCGTCGAAGGTCCCCGAGAAGAGAAGTCGAGGCCATACCACCCGGCTAGCCTCAAGGTTCCTTCGCGTTCCCCTCCACTCTCCATGACGCCGCCTCTCCA